TTTAGTACTTCTAAATTATTTACTAGTAATAGCTGTAACAGTTGTGCTCTTTTGAATCATTTGGGATTTCTGTGAAATTTTTTAAAATACAACTATATAATAGTTTTATTAGAAAGTATATATTATGTCCAGTTATATAATATAAAATGAAACTTTAAGAATACATTGAACTTTCTGCAAGATTAGCACTCATAATTCTATTGGTCCTCTGTGGAGCTAACCTCTGTGTAGAAGAACTGGCAATGAGAGTGATGATTATGACCAATTTGTTTAATGAATTCATGGTTTAAAGCTTTTGGAGTCTGATATAAAAAATCCGGAAGTAAAAGCATTGTATGTCAGTTTATTAACACTGCTTGCTATATTAATAAAATTATAAATAAATTACAAAATAAGTCATGAAAATGCTAGCAACAATAAATAGGCATTTCTAATTTGAATTATCATAAGTAAATAATATTACAAGATCTGGAATGGATCTTTCGTGTGAAACAGAAATAAAGTTAAACAAGTCATACATGGTAAATTTTGCTTCATAAATCCAGAAACATCCACCACATATTAAAATATCTATTTAAGTCTGACACTAGTCTTTAATACCGTTTTGTTGCCACAATATTTTCAATTATTATTACCTCCTGTACCTTTTATTTTTTTATTTGTAGGCATTTAATACGAGGTAGGTTTCAAAAGTTCCCGGACTGAGTCTATAACGTAAAATATATTATGAATTAAATTGCAGAAACACATCCTCCTTTGAAATAAGACCCTGTGCAACAGCACACTTTTGCTAGCGCCATCGAAGCATGTCTGGAATCCATTTTTGGCCATGTCCTTTAATTCAGTTTGCGATGCAAATTGAAGTTCATCTGAAGATTGAATCGATGACTTCGCAAACATCTTGCCATTTCAGGAAATAGGAAGAAATCACAGGGTGCAAGATCAGGTGAGTAAGGAGGATGAGGCAAAAGCATTTGTTTTCATAAGAAAGTCATTGATGAGTAGGGATCGGTGAGCAGTAGCGTTGTCATACAACAGCACCCATGATTGCTCAGCCCACATTTTTGGTCTCTTCTTCCGGATCGACTTGTGCAAACAACGCAGGATTTCGATGTAGAATTCTTTGTTCACAGTGTGTCCTTCAGGGATAAATTTCAGGTGCACATTGGCCTGGATATCGAAGAATACCTCTAGCATGACCTTTCCTTTAGAGTGATCTTGCAGAATTTCTACTTCCGTGGAGATTGTGGAGATTTCCGTGTTGCCGGTGCTCTCTTGGTTTGCGGGTCGTACAAAAAACACCATTTTTCGTCTCCAGTAACAATTCTGCCAAGTAGGGAAGGATCATTGTCAACAGCCAAGATTAAGTCTCCAGCCATTTCTGTTCGAATTCCATTTTGATTCAGGGAATGATGTGTTGACACACTATGTATGTTAAGATCCTTAATCAGTATCTGCTGATATGTGGCCTCTGATGTCCCAACTGATTCTGCTATTTGGCAAATTGTTTGCTGCCTGTTCTCACGTATCACCGCAGATACCTTTTTTGATGCTTTCATCAATGCGCAAAGTCTTAGGGGCGGCCTTAGTGTTCGTCATGTTTGGCATTTTCCTTGCCTTCTCTGAAGCGACGATGCCACTTAAAAGCTTGCATTTTCAAAATGTTTCATGAATGTAGTAACATGAAAACATTCTCATATTTCACTACTGCAAAAAATTTTAACATTTATAGATTCAGTCCGGGAACTTTTCAATCCTACAACATATAAGGCTAATCATTTAAGACTTGCAATATTTTTTTTCTTTTCTTTTCTTTAGTTTTTTAAGGCATGTTAAGAAACATTTAACTAAAACAAAAAACACCAATTTTGAAATATATGGAGTTGATTACAGTGAGATCAAAAACAAAAAAGAACTGCTTTTGGTGTCCTTTTAGTATTGATGTATTAATCTATACCATCTGCCCACACAAGAAATGAAAAAGTTAACATAAATAGGACACATTATTTAACATCCTCAGTGGCATGGACTACCTTTACCTAGTAATGGGGTTTTTTGTTTCTTGGTATGCGTTAGTTTATATTCTAAAGTATTTTGCTTTCTTTCATACTTAAATGATGTGTATATATCATCTCAGTGAACGGAAGTTTGTAAAAAACAGAGATTAAAATAAATACTTATGCAAAGTTAGCTAATAAATAGTGTGTAAATACAGGTTTTTATGAGCAGACCCCAAAATCTGGGCCACTTAGAGAGTTACAGAATGCTGTACCATAATCTGAAGCAAATGCACATTTAAATAAAGTTCATACATTTTGCATGCTTTGCAAATTCTTTGGGCAGAAGCTGGTTTTAGGAATTTTCTTACTATAAATGCTTATTTTGATTTTTTTTAAAGTATATTTTTGTTTATTTTGACACAGTTTAAACAAAAATTTTATTTTTATTAATTAATTTATTTATTATTTGATGGTTATATATTTGTAATTCTTTGGTAGAATTGTGACTGTTTAGCATTCATTGCTTTTACTTTCGAGTTTTGTCAACAAGTAATACTTTTCCTGTGATTTAATCTAAATTGGTGGCACTTGGCTGCAGATGTGTGTATCTGCTAGCCTCTGCAAATAGGAGTTGAAATGTGGCTCTTGCATGGTACAGAAGTTGGGAAAGTGTACTTGCTTTTTATATATTAGGTGCCAATGAAGCTGGTTTTAGATCAGAGATTTAAGATTTTAGTTTAGTTATGCTTCCAATGCCTAAAGTAAAAAGATAAGTCAAATGGCTTAGAGTTTTCAGAATGAATAGAAGTATTTTATTCTATAAATTTTGTATAGAATCAGTTTTGGAAACAAAAATTGTTATGGAACACTTAGTAACATCTAAGCTTGAATATGGAAGATCAAGAACTGCAGAAAGAAAGAGCTATCATCCGAAAAATCCTGAACTTTCATGGGATGTATGTAAAGCATTTCTTGAAATCACTATCCCTCTCTGGAAGGCAAAAATGGAAGTCTTCAATATTTTTTATAAAAGCTAATTTAAAAAAAAATTCTTTGTGAAGATAATTTGTATAAAGATTGTTGATTGTTGTAATGCAGTTTTTAATCACATCAAGGGAAAAATTAGTGTGAAAAATATTTGGATATCTATTGATGAAACAATGGATGCAACAAGCATAGTCATTGCTTATAAATCTCATTGGTATTGTGAAATGCATAAAATGTCTCTCTCTCTCTCTCTTTTTTTTTTTTTTAATTTTAATATATATACTACTGCAGAAAAGGTGGTAGGAGAAAAGCTGGAAAAAGTTAATAGCAATGCAATTGCCCAGTTATGTACCAATTCATTAGCATCAATTGGCCAGATGAAATAAAGCATGGCAGAGTTCTGTTAACCTGTATCAAAAAGGTTACAAAAATGTTCAAAGTATTTTTTTGCTCTTATGTATCATTTAGCATCGCTGACACATTTTTCACAGAATTGTCAAGAAAATTTCACATCTCTTTCCATGTAGAATCCTTACAATTTTATTGGAGTATGAAACATGAAAAATATGCAGTGCCCTTGCCATGATTCGAATTTCTTATTTCCCAATTGTTAGTCGGACTTGCTTCTAATTACAACACAGAGACATGTGAAAAGGAGGGGGAAAATACTTTACATCCTGAAGTTTACATTTTTAGACAATCCATTGTTTCAAGATGGGAAGCAAGGCTTTTGATTACTACTTCCAAATTTTAGAATTTTTTTAGTTCTTTTCTGATCAGATTTTAGAATAATTGCAGAAATTGTCAACACTCTTTGACTGTTATGCTAATATGTTAAAATCATTTTTATAATTCAAATACATTTTATCGGGCAGTCAGTATGATTTCAAGTTTGAAGATAGGGGCATATGTGTCACAGGAATAATATAATTTTATAAATAAGATTTGATTTATTCTACATTTTTAGCTATGAATGCTCATGATTTTAGCAGGATATTTCTGTTTTGTTTTCATCACACCTTTTGGTCTGATAGATCAACAAATCTCATGGTTTTTAATTTTTAGCCTTTATTAAGGAAAATGCTTCTTAGTGATAATTTCTACCTCTAATGATTTTTAGCATGACTTTTCTTTGGATTGTTTTAATCTTCTCTAGATATTTGTAGAACTTTTTATAAAGATTTAATCAATGTTTAATTAATTATTTGTATTTAATTTTGTTTTACATCAATATATATTAATAACTAAATTCACTCGCACAATAGAATGTACATTAATTATTAATTTTATTTTCATCTTTAAAAGCACTTTGGTAATTTAAAAGTTTTCCTTCTCTTGTCAGGATTTTCTCACTATAAAAGAGTGAGAAAAATACAAAATGAGATTGGCCAACAAAATACAATTTAAAATATCTAATTAAATATTGATACATTTTACATCAGAATGATATAAATAGTTCAGCGGCCTGAATCATGCATTATAAGGTGAATATGAATCAGTTTGGTGTTTAAATGATATTGTGCAAATCAGAATCTCCTGGAAACTTCCAATTTTTCATATTTCAAGCTTGGCAACTGTGCTTTATTATTTGTGTACAGGATTTTCAACAATGGAAAGCAATCATTTCCCCCCCCCTTTAAGCTGTGTTTGAAGTTTTATTATGTACATATTATTAAATTCCAAAAAACGGGAAATTTAACATTTTAACTTACATTGTACACAAAGTATTTTAATTTGGTAACAGAATTAAACATTTCATTGGTAGCCATACTCTAATTTTGATAACTTTGCTCAGAGAATATTTTTGTAACTATTAGAATCAATCCTTGTATACTTAGAAGTCCTGATTGTTTTAAAAAGGTCTTTTAAAAATCTACAGGAAAAATTCATTGGGAAAGGCTTGATTACATTTGCAGTTTTTAAAATTTATTTATGTTGTTAAAATGAAAGATCAGAAATTTGTAATGTGAATGAAGTTTTTTGAATTAATAAAGGTGTGATTTAAAATTTCAGATAGCCATTGATAAAAATCATTTGCTTATAATTGGAGGCTGTGGCGGACCTAACAAAGTATGTTAGCTTTATGTATTATTGTTATGAATGTGCAAGCTGTTAATTACTGATTTTTCTCTGCATACACATTATAAAATGTAATATACCTATTTTTTTATGTCTGATCTGTAAATATAAATCAGGTGAAATACTAAATGTTTTATGTTTATAAATGGATCATAGGTGTTTTTTTTTTTTTTTTTTTTTCCAAAGTAAATTATTTTTATACAGTACAAAGTCCGAGATCCAGATGTCCAGTATCCGGAATGATGTAAAATCTGGACCAAACTAAAAGCCAACAACAACCTTTTTTCTCCCATGATTTTTTTTAATGTGTGTGCGTGTGTGTGTATGTGCATGCTTTATGCATGCGCATTTGATTCCCCCCCTATAATAAATCATGTGGAAAGTCCGATTCTTAATTTCACTTCCACACTAAATAAAATACCTCGTTATTGAAGTAACAATCATTTTTGCAAAAAATTGTGTGATCAATAATTTGGCTCTGTAGCTGCATATCTACTTGGTCTCAAACCGAAACATTCTACATGGAAACATCTTTGATTTTGCACCTGTTAATATTTTGTATCCCTGATGGCAACCTGGCAAATCATTATTTATTATATTTTGCTTTCATCACCGCATGTTTATCAACACATGACAACTTGAGTAATGACTCATGCAGCCATGTCTAAACATTTCTTCTTTTTTTTTTAATATTAGTAATTGAATAATAAAGCGTATGGTAAGTTTTCATTTTGACATTATGCTTGGCGACGATTACAGATGCAAGTTAAATGCGGTAAGAAATACTGACGAGGAAAAATTTAACAAAAATTTCTTTCCATATGCTAAAAATAGATTTTGTTAATGATGCCAAAGGATTACATTTAGCGCTATTTAAATTGAGAATAACTGATTTGTTAGTCACATAAATCCAGAATCTGTGCAACAGTTTTGTATGACTGCACTAGGCAGAAGAATTTAAGAAGAACTTTTTTTTTTTTTTTTTTTTTAATTTAGAGGAGCACCGAGCAACAGAATTAAAGGATGACAAATTTTTATAATTTAGGAAAAGCACTGGAACCTAAAATTTAGGAGTGGCGAAAGTTCAGAACTTAGGGGCACTTAATATAAGAATTCAGGACCTGCAGAGACTGCATCAGGTGGTAAGATATCTAGCTCTGACCCTCGATAATTATATGTTGGAATTTATTTATTCAGAACTCAGATAAGCCTTAAGCATGTGCAAGAAATAGACGTAAGTATAATAAATAACTAATGCAATTCAGTCTTAATTATCTCAGTGTGCAATAGAAGCAAGCCAAAATTTAGCAGAACAACTTGTCTTTCATTGCCAATCTCATGATACATAACCCATAATGTAAGTGGATGCTATTAAGCAAGGCTAAAATTATACTTCACTGATTGCAAGGAACTTCAGTTAATATAGTAGATTGCACTATTCCTTAACTTTTTAATTTGATCCAGCTTATTATTTTTGCTGGCTGTTATTATTACATTTTATGAAAATTAAAGTTTGAACTTATGTATTTAAGAAAATTAAAGTATGAACAATTATGTCAAAAAGTTTCTAATTCTGGAGCTGCAACAGGATCTACAAAGCGAAAATATATTTTCATGTCCATTAAACAAAAAGTAGAATTGCTGCAAAAAATTGATAAAGATATATCTGTCTCAAAATTATGTGAGGTGTATGGCATTGGAAAGTCAACTGTTTATGGCATAAGAGAAAAACGAACTTTTTGTAGATTATGAGACTCTACTCGCAATGAATAACAGAAAAATTATTCGTTATGCTATGCTAAAAGTGACGGTCATGACAAAGTGATGGTTGAATGGGTCAGACAGCATCACAGCGAGGGTGTGCCATTGATGAATCCAATGCTAATGGCTCAAGCCAAAATATTTCATGAAGAAATGAACTTAAAAACTGAGTGCACCTTCGGCAAGTTGGTTAATTAATGTAAAAATCACCATCGTATAATGCAATTAAAAATTTGAAGTGAAAGTGCTTCAGCTGATACTGGAGATGCTGAACTATTTTCAAGTGAATTCATTATTCATTAATAGTGAAAGTTATCTCCAGAAATATCTTGGCGACCTCTACAGAAAAGGCTCCAACTGGTGTCCAAGATTTCAAAGTGAGACTACAATTTTAGCATGCACAAATGCTGCTGGAACGCACAATTGTAAACTTTTTGTAATCAATCAATATTACAAAATATACAATTGAAAATATACAAATGACTATATAAAGGAGTAAAGATTTTCCCCGGTATATGTTTTGCAAATAAAATCGCATGAATGACACAAGCATTAATGAATGATTGGTTTGAAAATCATTTCATACCCAAAGCTCGACAACATTTGAATTCAGTTAGTTTACCTGATGATGGAAAAATTATTCTGATAGTAGACAACTGTTCAGCTCATCCGTCACTCAAAGTTTTAGTGAAAGATAGTATATGCATATTATCCTTTCCTCCAAACCATCATTCAGCCTATGAATATCGGAATAGTGCACATGCTGAAATGCAATTATAAAGTACCATTTTTAAAATCCACTTTAAATTTCTTGAATAATGGTGAGCCTATTCAAGAATTTTTTAAACATTTTAACTTAAGGTCTACTGTGTGGAGCATTGCAAGATTCTAGGAGGATGCGTCTTCAGATACTTTACAAAATGCTTGGCATAATTTATGGCTAGCTGCCAAATTTAATGGTGAGGATGATGAAGATGATAGCGGCAAATTTGAAGGTTTTCAGATATCGCACACCAAAGTTGGAATTTTCCAATCAATGGATTTTATAAAGAAATGTAGAGAAGTGGTAATAAATGAAGATGATATAACCGAAGATTTTCATTGCCATGACAATACCCCCAATCATCAATAAATTAATGGATGGGGAAATCTGTAGTATGGTTCTAGATCCAAAAGATACCACTACCAATAGTGAAGAAAGTGACAGAGAAGTTATTGTAAATGCAAAAATTTCGATTTACAAGTTAGTCGGAATTCTCGACACAGCAGTTATAGGAGCTGAACAATGGAACTTTGTAACTGAACAAGAAGTTACGTCTGTCTTGAATTAGAGAGAAAGTATTAGCACAAAAAAGAAAGCAACTTAAAAACTTCTATTGAAAAAAATGTTTAATAAAATAAATAAATATTAAATTTTCTTTATACCTTTTAGATCATAAATGCTTCATTATTCATAAATCACAGTTTCATATTTTTTATTTTATAATTTCTACATGCCATCTTACTAGATTTAAACTGATGATCTAATATCCGGTATCGTCCGACGAGTTCGGATCTCAGTCTTTATACTGTATAAATTTTATTTCTAAATTAAACTGAATAGCATATTTTCATTTATAACTGTGTATTTGTTTTATTGTCAGTGCAGTTTTTTTTTAATACAGTATCAAGAAAATTTGAATGTATGAAAATGTGGTGAAATTACACAAAACTAAAAAAAGTTCTGAATAGAATTTAAAAAATGAAATTGTAAAATATTTTTTGTAGTCTTTAACAAATTTAATTGCAATTCATTTTGCAATTTTTATATTTTAAATTTATTCATATCGCTTTAATCATAATTTTTTCAAGTTTCCACATTATATCTATTCTTACTGTTATTTTCTAAAAATGAAATTAAAATTGTTTTGTTAATTAAAATTTTGGTATTTATATATTATCTTGATGATTATAAATTTTGGCTGCCTTCGAACCATGGAAAATGGGGCAAATTCTACCAAAGTTGCACCATTTGTTTTTGTGGAATTTGGAGCTGCACTTCTTTCTGTCTGAAACTCTTACGAGAAAACATTGGTCAGTCTGTCTGCACAGTCTGCCAAATAGCCATTGCTGCCTGGTTCATTTTTGGCTATCATAAAAATGGTTTTCATCAATTTCTATTTTACTGAAGATGCTAAGGCAAGAAGAATCAGTGTAATATTCATAAATCTGTGGGTTTAGTTTCAAAGATTAAAATATAAAACCTTCATCTTTAGCTACAGAAGTTCAAATAACAAACGAAAAGCTTGTGCTCAGGCAGTAACAATAAGAAGAAGGAAGAAAAACTACTGGTGCCATCTATTGATAAAAATTAAAACAACTGTGGAATAATTTGCATTAAAGCTGAGGGTAAAGACAGATTGGAATTGAGGTTGTTAACTAGAACTGAAAGATTTTAAAAAATGTGAAATACATCTAGAAATTTTCCTCCTTATGTGTAATTAAACTTTCAGATGGTTAATTCAAAGTACACTCACTTCCAAAAGTTAAGCTTGAAGATGTAAAATGCAAAAAAATCAAC